AAAGTTCCAGCAAAAGTTAAGGCCGATGCTTTAAACTTTATTAAAGTATTACTATAATTGATTACATATAAAAATATAATTATTTTACATTTGGTTTACTTATTCAAACTTTTCTTATTGTATTATTACAGTTTAGATTTATACTTAAAATACCAACTTCATTTATGCTTAAGTCATTGGGAAAGAAATGAAAAAACTAAAAGCATAATTTAAAGAATAAGTATTTTGATCGAAATACTATTAGAGGCCACAATGGAAAATCTACCCCGTAATGTAATTAGGTGACAATATGAGCAATTAGTTAGATTTTGATTTTCAAAAAAAGAAGAGGTACTAATTTATAACTTTGTATAGTGGAATAAAATAATGAAAGTGTTTGATACTTTAAGTTGGTAATATTTGTATTTCTACTATATACACAATTATTTTTTATGACAGAAAAAAGAATATATTAGGATTGGCAGTAAAAAGCAACAAAAATATAGTCACTAGTCACACAACTGGATCAAAAAGTTTTGCAAGAAAGCAAAAAGAAATAGTAAGTTTATGATTTTATACTTATTCCAATGAATGAACTTTTTATGCCGTTAAAAGGTAAAAATGCAAATTAACAGTTATTGTTCTATTTTAATAGTTTTGATAGTTTAAATACATGATATTAAACTTATCGAAAGTATTGAACTTAGTTGCCATGGTTGATATGTATGAAAAAGATATTGTTTACGTCTATTTAGATAAAAATACAAATTTGTTGTTATTGTTCTATTTTAACAGTTTGGATAGCTTCAATACTTGATATTAAACTTGTCCGATTGATTGAACTTGGTTTCTACGATTGATATGTGTGAAAAAGTTGTCATTTATGTCTATTTGGGACTATTTTTGCCTTTAAAAGGCAAAAATACAAATTAAACTTTTAGATGGCTTTTAACAATTTGGATGGCTTCAATCCATGATATTAAACTTATCCAAATAATTGAATTTGGTTTCCATGATCGATACGTGTGAAAGGCTAAAATGCTTTTATTATTTGCATTTGTTTAAGACTATTATGTTGTTAAGGGGCCAAAATATAATTTTACGATTATATTTATATTTTAACAATTTAGATAGATTAAATACATGATATTAAAATTATTCAAAAATTTTTGAACTTGATTGACATGCTTGATATGCATGAATAAGTTACAATTGATATATATTTAACAATAACATATGTTTTTGTATAAGAGATTGAGTGGGTGATAAAATTGGACGTGTGAAACTTTTTTGCTTAACGTACAGACAAAAAGACGAATCTTACCTAAATGTCGAAACACAAGAAATTGTGATAATTTGTAACCTCTATTTTAACAGAGAGTAAAATTTATTCTTTTTAATGTATTATCAATTAATCATCAAACTTGATAATTTTATATGATTAATTTACAGGAGAAAATGAAAGAGAAAATGGTTGCTGAGATTGAAGTAGTATCTGATAGTTCTATCAACATGCAAGAATTGAAAAATCAAATTTTCATAGAAGTTGCTACAAAAGAAAGGCATGGACAGGTCAAGGCCTTGGATTTGGCCAAACACCATCTACCTACTATAGACGTAGCTCTCAGCAATTTACATTCTCAACAAATCAGTCTTCGTAAAATATTTTCATATTGAGAGAAGAGTTGCAAACTATGCAATAATATTTCCAGCAAATAGAAGCAGAAAAAGAACAGAAATGTGCTAAAATTAAGGAAGAACATGCTAGAATGGAACAAGAGCGTGCAAAATTTTAATAATTGCATGATTGATTCAATCATCTTATGAATTTTATGCAACAACAATTTTCAGGAACTAATCTCGATGGTCTACCAACTCAGGTATTATATTTAGTAAATATTTATATTTTTTAATATAAAAAAAGCTTGCTATTAAGTGTTAAAAATTGTATGGTATTATTCAGTAGGTTCTTAAGCACGCTAGTGACCAACGTGAAAAACTTTCTTCATCAAATGGCAATCTTCCAAATCTATGCAATCATCAATTTCATACATTTTAATTTTTTTTGTTAATGTATTAAAAAATTTGAATGTTATTATACTAATTATTAAACTTTGTGTTAATTAGATGCATATTTGAACGTAAATTAAGTATTTATTAATTTCAATTTTTGAATTTAAGTTCGTTTGTATTTCTTTTAACATTTCTTGTTAATGAAAATAATAAATGTTAACAGAAATTTTTATATTAAAAAAAAGTAAATTTCTTAATTTCACGGCATTCGCATTCAAGAATGCCGTTAAATTTTAAATTTAGTGACGTTTGTACTATAAAACGTCACTAAAAGTAACGGTGTTCTTATAAAAAAAACATCGCTAAATTAGTGGCTTTCCAATCATAAAAACATCTCTAAATTAACAATATTTTTTAATACAAATATCATTAGTTTAGCGGCGTCTTATCATATAAATGCCACCATATTAACGGTATTTTTTTGATACAAATATTACTAAATTAGCAACATTTTTCAAATACAAACACTACTAAAATAGCAATATTTTTCATATACAAATGTCGTTATTTTTCTCGACATGTGTATAATCGATATTCTAACTGATATTTTTTGCAAACACCGTAAATCTTTTAGCGACGTTTATAAACGTCATTAAACAATGAAAAAAAGGTCACAAAAAACTTAAAACCTTGTAGTGGCCATATCCAAACCAAGCATTTTTTATCTAAGGGGTAACAAACATGAAGGTATTTAGGTATTCCATCGTCAAGACTTGCATCCAAAGGATTGAGTCGAGCAAAACAAACAATTGAGAAGGAAAGAATAATAAAAACAATAAAAAAAACACTTTAATAGCCATTCTTATGCTTTGTGATATTGCTACTTATTAATTATATTGATTTGGAAAATATAGTTGTTACAAAAAAGAAAAAAAAGATTAGCACATATGCTGTTGAGATATCCGAGGTTTGAATTAGTCCCCACATATTTTCTTTGAAAAGCGTTGAAGATAGTAGATTGAGATAATGTTCAGTTGAAGATTCTCTGAAAATCTAGGTAGGATCAATAGCTGCAAACTGGTTGGGATTGATCAATTAAGTTATTCCATATCAGTCTGATAATTAAAGTTGAATTTCAGGGTCTTCATCATAACTTTGTTTAACAGCATGTTCCGATTGACCTAAGGGCTTGATAAGGAGAAATCGTGTAAATTTTAAGTTAAAGACTTAATTATATGTCATCAGAAAAGAGTTCACAACTTAATATTAAAATTTAAAAAAAAAAAAAAAAAAAGAACTGTCATTGATTAGAAACAAATTCTCGTTGATTAGTTTCCTGTATAGTTGTAGGCCTCTAGAACTTAATTATCTGATCATTACGTGAAAGTTGTATACAGGACTTAATAAGTTGACAACTGTTTGTGAGAAAATTCTGAGATGACAAGGGTACTTTAGGTATAAGAGAATGAGGTGAAAATGAGTTCAGACAGATAAAATGTATTAAGTAGTGAGAATGGAAAGGAGTTAATATATTTACTTTTTTAAATTTTAAAGTGACCTGACAAAAATAATGAAACTTTTTATATTTATATTTTTTAAGATATTGAAATTATTTTTTTTATGATGATAAAACATTTCAGAATAATATATGTAACATGAAGATATTTTTTCAATTATCTTACTTATTTTTAAGAAATTAAATCTAGATTAAATATGTTTTTGAAATAGTTTTCTAAAGTGCCTTACTCATTTATTAGAGAATATATATATATATATATAGATTCAAAAATAAATATTTTTTAAATTATCTTGCTTAATTAAAAAAATTACACCTAAATTTATATAAATCTCGAATGAAGAGAGGGTTTTTGTCCTCGTGCAATATTAAAATCCGCAAGCTTATTATATATGGGACAAACAAGAAACATGGTTGACATTTATGGTTGTAGGGATGTTTATGGTTGACAGTAACACTGCTTTTTAGTTGACATCTTATGGTTGTAGGGATGTTTATTTTCTTAGAACTGAAAGTCAAACCAGCTTATGTTAATATTCGATAATTGTTTCTCGCAAAAATTCAATAACTTGAATTTTTGCATGCTTTTTCTCTGATGACCCCTACTCGAGTTTAGGATGTGGTTGACGCCATAATCCTTTGCAAAACTGTTTGATCGTAAGTTAGTTCAATTCTCACCTTGTTAGGTTTCATATTGGTTTATGTTAGATTTTGTTTAATTATATATTCCTTCTGTTTCAAATTATTTAAGTGTTACTGATTTTTACAGAATTTTTTTTTTAAATTCACTTTAATATATTTAATAATAATTTCTAATTTTTTATAAAATTAAAATTTCGCGAATTTTAATGAAAAAAGATCATAACAAATACTTTTAAAATATAAAATGTAAAAGTTTTAAATGTTAAAAACAACAAAATATATTTTTGAGATATCTCAAAAACAAAAGATGAACAAAAAAGGAAAACAAAAAAAGTATGAAATATAAAAAAATTCAAAATAGTATTATCTTCGATATTAAACTTAAAACGAAATTCTATTTGGAACTCTTTATCTTCTAAGTAAGGTGTCATTTGACGCCATCCACATGGTGCAAATTGGGATTTATTATCAATTTTGACTCTTTTCATACACAGAAGGATGGAAATAATACAACTTTGAATAATTACAAATTTAATTAGAATTTTTTAAAAATTAAAAACCAAAATAAAATAACTCAAAATTTAAGAATTTCAGATGTTATTAACATTAAATATTTCACAATAATTCGGAATTGATTCATAACAATATTTTTTTAACTGAAACTATCATAAGTTGAATTATCCTCGTTAAAATTAAAAAGTAAAAAGTGTAACACTGTCAATCCAATAATCTTATCTTCCTCGTCATTAAAATAAAAAAAAAAAAAAAAGTTCAAAAGTAAAAAGCGTTATTCTCTGCCAATCCAATAATCTAAGTCGTCATCAAAATTAGGAAGTCTAATACTCTAGCAATAACACTTTACCAATCCGATAATCCATCATCAGATGGCTTGAGTTTCGTATTAACATAATCATCCAATACAAAGTTAATAGGGAACTTTATCCATGCCTAGGTTAAAAGTAACAGAACAGGCTTGAAAACTTTTAGTAAGACGAGTGATATACAATGAAATTTGTCGATAGTCCAAGAATGGGCATATTGCACACTGCGTCAAACCATATAATTGGATTCCCATGATCATGGTAGGAATGGAAACTACATCTCTTTACTAATAAACAAATGTCAAGTACAATAACAAATGAATTGTAATTTACTTTACAACAATCAGAGCACAACTAGGTGCTTGATATTACCTGTTGCTTCTCCAATTTCATGTCTCCATGGTAATTGATTTAGATCATTCATCTAGACATTGGTGAGAGCGATACCTGTCATCTGAAAGTAATTCAACAATACATTTTTCAAGCCTTTTTGCTCCTGGACCAGGCCTCAAGATATCAGCATCCCCCCAAACTGAACATGTGCCATTGCCAGGTTCATCTAAACACCATCCACCTGGTACAACTTTGCCAGGGTTGCGTTTCAAAATTTCTTGGTCAATACGGTCAAGTACTGGATCGTCAAATTGGAACTGTGTTGCAAAAGCAGCTGCACTCTGAATCATAGCATCAAACTCTTCAGAACTGACTAGGTGAGGCTTCGTTGAAAGGGATTTGTTGAAGGCTACATACTGTAGGTTATTGTTTATCACGGTGCTCTTGAACTGATCAGAGTTACATAGGACAGTTGGGAAATAATTGGTGAAGGAATAAGGCATATTTGCAAAATACATTAGCAAGGTCCTCGGAAGATTGTCTGTACCAAGGATGCAGAACTCAAGGAAACTACGAGTTAAAATTGCAAATGATGAACCTGCAAAATACCAGATCTCTAGTTTTACTTTCACAATTTCCTTTGATAGTGCTTGGCAAAGCAGGCAGAAAAACTTGTCAGCAAAATGAATGGCCTATAATATCTTGTATGACTACACCAGTTATATATAAACAATAAAGGAAGTGATCTGGTGAGTGCTAATTAGTTGTTTCCAAAGCCATTAAAAAGTAATTGATTGGACATCTCTACTTGGCAGATGATGGACATCAATTAGCTCTTGTGATAATGAACTTTATGTAGTTTTCTAGAATAATGATCCTTGCAGACATGTCCTAAACAGGCATTTCATCAATAGAGACATTTTTGAAAGAAATGGAAGGGGAGACCCGCAACCAACTTACCATACCTTTGATGCTGTACAAACATGCATGAAACATATGCAATCTCCTACAACAGTCGCATAATATCTTTCACTGTTTTGCTAGTGGATAGTTTTATTAGTTCAATTTAACAACTTACAAGGCAAGATGGTAACAAGGCTTTCTTTTAAAGCAGAAAAGATCACTTCTACTTTTAACTGGGTCCACCTCACAACTTGTTCCTACTAAATGCATGGAAAGTTTCTTTCTCTTTTTCCTCTTTTCCTTTTAATTTTTAGCCAAGCAAATTGCAATTGAGTATTGGAATTTACAAACCATAAAATGTATGACGGAATTAGTAGGTAAATAGCACATAAGACCATTCACCGGTGGATCCATCCTCACAGTTTAGCTGAGCGCTGACAAATCTGCCTTGCTTTATGCACCTAGTTCAGGCCGCACTACATAAACATAGAGAGGCCTATGATTTAAGTGCAATTTAAATTCATAGAAGAGTCTTTTCAATTAATAAACAAAAATTTTGCTAGTGATATTTCTTTAGCAGCCCATAATAATTTCAACCAGCTATACATAGCAAAAGGATGGAATTTACATAATGGCGACGATAACTAAAGGCTTCAAAATTTTTCACATTCTATTTTTATTACTTTGCCTTCTCCCTCTCTCATGCTTCTCCCAACAGTTTTATTTCTACAAAATTTCTTTTCCTTTGAAATAAGAAGTAAACTATAAACATCCCTAAGCTGGACAACCCTCTGTTTCTCCAAACTATAGCCCTTTATGAAGCTGGATTGAAATTGATGCATTCCATACGGAAACTCTAGCTCCTGCATGCATCCTTAATACCATGAGGAACCACCATTAACTTACTAGGTGCAATCCATAGCCTAACCTGAAATTCTGAATGCAAATGCCCCTTCTTTTTTAAAATGCACTCCATTGTTTACCAGATTGCTCTCACTCAAAAACTGCAGCACCAAATTACACTCCACAACTTGCAAGCTATGACACACGGACATGGCGGAAACTTCATCATACTGGTTTCATACTGGTGTCTGATGCGAACACACCGCTGACGCATCAGAATACTTACTGGATATGCCGAGACAAGGAAATAAATAAAAAAACAACTTGGACATGGTCCGGACACGGTCAAGACACTTTTGGACACGGTTAGATGACAGAAAACAATGAAAAAAGATGGTGGAAGCCACTGGTATTTTTATAGACCTAGGGTTTCCAAGATGTTTTTGATAAATTTAGCTTGATAGGAAAAAATACAAGGGTGAGATGAATTTTTTATTTTTTTGGAGAAATTTTGACACAGATGGAAGGCGGCCTATGTCAAAGAGGCAGCCAGTGACCGGAAACTGGGTAGTGAGGCAGCTGGAAGATTTTGGTTAGAGAGAGGGGCGAGGAATTTTCTTAAAGAGAGAAATAAATGTAGAGGGAGAGAGTGGGAGTGAACAAAAAAAAATTATTTTACAACATATGCTAAATGCACCGATTAGCTTAAGGTGCCGGAGAAAGAAAAAAGGAAGGAAAATGGGCCCTCACTTGCCCACTTGGCACCTACATAATACACTTTACCAGAATAAAAGAAGAATGAGACTCCTTTGCTTTTTAATTTGTTTTTACCAGAATGGCCATGTCCTTTACTACATTTTCAGGTTAAAGTAATCATTTTTATTAAAAGCTCGAAATTGACAAAAAAAAAATTTCTTCTGACAAAATATTTAGCTCATTATTTTTTTTTTCTTCTTTCTCCTTCTAAGATAATTTTATGAAAAATTGTGATTATATATTAATGAAAAATATCAATGATTACATTCATATTGAATATTTTATATAAAAATATACGAAAATATTTTTTATTGCTGTATCCTACCACACCCATGTCCTCATTTCTTTAAAAATTACCGTGTCAACGTGTCCATGTCATGTCATACCCATATTGAATATCTATATCCGTGCTTCCTAGCTTGCTAGAAGAATGAAAACAACCAGCTTATGCTTGATGAATTGATGTTCTATACATCTCCTCCAAGACTATAATTAGATCAATAATTATAAGACCAGAAGCAAAGAAATAAAAGTTGGTTTCAAGCTGATAGGTCCTAAAGAGTTACATGCACCAGAAACGACATCCTTGTAGCAACTCTAATCACATGCACTCAGTGCGTCTAAGTCCATTAAGAAATAGTAAAAAATTACCACATTCACCCTAACTATACAAATTTATGATCTTACACAAATATATAAACCTATATATTCAAGTCACATTCTTAAAAACTCTGTATTTGCAGTCCACCACTGTAAATCAAGCTATCTTTGTTTATTGTCTATTAACATCAGCTACTCCACTAATTAAGAATGTACACAATACACATGCATTTCACATTTGCTCCCATATTTAGCAACATCTGTTTTCCTTCATCACTATTAAAAGAATAAAGAACAGGAAGTACCCAAAAACTAAACATAGAGAAGTCGGATATAAACACATACCTGAAAACAATCTGAAAGCATTTGGCAATTCCCGCTTCTGAGTAGCATAAAATATCTCATGCTTCTCCAAAAGATAAAGCCCCGTATCAACAATTATCGGTTTCAATCTCTTTGACCTAAATAAGTAACACCGCAACACATAAAACTAATTCTAATCAACATTAATCAACTTAAACGACATCAATTTAATAACCACAAAAAAAATGTTTAAAAAACACGGGTGTAACTCGAAGAACATGATACATATTTGGTTTTGTTGTTGCTTTTACTATAAAGTTGCCGTATAAAAGCAAAATCATAATTTGATCAAAAAATGAACAAATGAATAAACTGTAACACCAATTCTAACAAAGATACTACTTTGCTTTTGTATCCAAATTTTCAGTTTGCAAAAGTAGCGAAACAGAAACGAAGTTTACATACTCTTTCCAGCCAATATAACTTGTGTGATTCACAAAGTTGAGATCTTTTGGCAAGTATGACAAAATGTGAAGAAGATCTGCAAATTCCATAAATACTCAGAAAAGAAAATCGATCAAAAAACAAAACCCAAAGACTTAAATCCAAAAAATTCACAAAAGAAAAATTTTTTTATTACCATCCTGAGTAACAAGCGGGTAATCACCAGCATTGAGAGATATAAACCAATCCCAATTCGAAGACAACCGTAGCAATATGGAGGCACCATGAAGAGTAGAAGAGATTGTGGATGACCCCCTTGGGTAAGCATAATCTGATTTCCCTATAACGTCAACATTTTGGGCAGCTCTGAAAATGGGCACTGATTGGACTGTGACAGCCAATCGATCACGTTCAGTCTGCGGAGCAGACAGGTCAAGGTGAAGAAGGTAATGGTTTCTCGGGTGATAGGAAGCGAAGAGTAGGCGGAGGATCCGAGCCGAGTCGCCGGCAGATCCTGATATGAGATAAGCAATGGAGGGAGAAGTAGGGCCTGAAGGGATCTCGGTTCGGGAAATGGGCCGGTTGGGGAAGAGAACCGGGTCGCGTCCGGTTGTGATTAAGGATTGGGAGGAAGAAGAGGTGGAAGGGAGGGAGAGAATGAAGAGGAGGGAAAAAAAGGAGGTGGCTAAGATTATGTAAAGAGTGGTTTTGGAATGGTCTTTCGGGAGGGCGGTTGTTGCGGTGGCGTTAGGGGTATATGACGGTGGCAGCGGCGATTGTTGGTGTTGGTGCATTGTAGCGGCATAGGTTTTGGGTTTGGCAGCTGTGTGTTGCGTCCGAGCTGTTTGGTTCGGTTTTGGGGTAGTGGGTCAGTTTGGTTTTTACCATTAGTAATAAGGCCCTGTTTGTCTGGCTGGCCAATTCACCATTGTGGTGTTTACTGTTTTGTAAGTATTTTACGCAGAAAGAAGGTTGTAAAACGTAAATTTAATCCATACTCCATACTCAAGGGAAGTGTTAGGAAAATAGGGTCAAATTTTATGTAAGTAATTTTGGATCAAGTAAAGGTCATGGGCCTTGATCTTTTATTTTACACAGAGCCCTAGCTACTTAATAAAAAAAAGGTGGAGTTGATTTAAGTGTGTGTCGAAAACCAAGCAGAAAAAGAAAAAAAGTCAGGAAAAGCAGAGAGAGAAAAAGGAGAAGGGAGTGTTGGTTGAACGAAAGTCGATCTGTGGTCCGATTGAGTTGGAACCTTGTCAAGAGGTTTGTGATTCAGAGTTCTACATTTTGAACGGTAAAGATCGGGTTTGAAGCTCTCTAAGAACAAATCCAGGGTGTATTTGTTGAGTCACTTATTTGGTGAGATTTCTCCAATTGTTTCTCTAGTTGTTGATTAGCTCTAGTTTTAGCTAGAGAAGAACTTTGTATAACTATTATTTGATAGTGAAGATTTTTCTGGTGGTCCGTAATTTTTTCCTTCTACACTGGAGGGTTTTCCACGTAAATCTTGATGTGCTTTATTTTTCCTGCGTATTTGATTATTGATTGTTGTCTATTGCTTCTGTATTGTTGTGATTATTGCTTCAGGCGCAACAAGTGGTATCAGAGCGAGGGTTATTTTGAGACATCGATACAGAAGCAACCCAGGATAGAAGTAAATTCTGTTTGGGATCATGGAGGGTGATACAAGTTCCATGATAAAATTGACAGCATCGAATTATTCAATTTGGAAGCATATGATGGAGGATCATCTATACTGCAAAGATTTGTATGAGCCAGTATTGGGTGATTCGGCTAAACCAACGAATATGAAAGCTGGAAGAAGCTAGGTAGAAAAACGCTGGCTACAATAAAAAAATGGGTTGATATCAGCGTGTTCCATCATGTAGCGAAGGAATCAGATGCTCACATTGTTTGGAAAAAATTGGCAGCATTGTATGAGAGAAAAATAGGTATGAATAAAGTTATGCTTGTTAAAAAGCTTGCAACTTTATAGTATAGGGATGGACGATCTGTTACAGAGCACTTGAGTGATTTTTAAGATATATTTAATCGAATGACTACTATGGAGCTTAAAATGGATGATGAAATAAAGGCATTATTTCTTTTAGGTTTATTGCCAGACAGCTAGAATACTCTAGTTGTGACTGTTCTTAATTCAGCTCCTGATTATAAGGTGACATTGGAGATGGCAAAAGATAGTATGCTTAATGAAGAAGCAAGGCGAAAAGATGTAGACCCTGAGAATCAAGCTTTGGTTACAGAGAATAGGGGTAGAAACATCGACAGAGGTCAGGACCCAAAAGACCGTGGTAAGTCTAAACATAGATCCAAGTCTAGAGGTAAAGTGAAGTGTTTTTATTGTGGTAAGGCAGGTCATATAAAATGAAACTGTAAAATCTTGAAGCAAGAGCGAAAATATGAGAAAGGTAAGAGTTCAAATGATGGCAATGTTGCAGCAGTGAATTCAGATAGTGATTCAGTTACTTTGATTTATACACATGGTGATTGTAATCATGTTAGTGATCCCGGCATTGAGTGGATAGTTGACACAGGAGCGACATATCATTGTGTTTCTAAAAGAGAGTTGTTTACAACTTACAAAGTAGGAGACTTTGGTTGTACCAAGATGAGAAACAAGAGTGTGTCACAGATTGTTGGGATTGGTGATATTATTGTACAAACTAGTACATGCTGCATGTTGACTTTGAGGGATGTCAGACACATTCTAGATATGAGAATGAACTTGCTTGCTATTAATGTCTTTGATAAGGAGAGATATGAAAGCCGACAAAAGAATGGATAGTGGAAGCTTCTCAAAGGATCTATGGTAGTTGCAAGAGGAAAACTATGCTGTACAATGTATAAGACATGGATGCAATTGAATGGTAACCAGGTAAATACCGTTGAAAATGATGCTTCAGCAAACTTGTGGCACAGGAGGCTGGCACACATGAGTGAAAAATGGTTACAGGTTTTGGCAAGGCAGTCTCTCATTCCCTTGACCAAAGGCATGTCTCTCGATTCATGTGATTATTGTTTGTTTGGTAAGCATCATAGAGTTTCTTTTCGTAAAAGTTCTCAGAGAAAAGAAAATAGATTGGAATTAATTTATTCTGACGTATGTGGTCCTATTGAGGTTGAGTCATTAGGTGGTAGCAGATATTTTGTTACTTTTATTGATGATGCTTCACGTAAGACTTGGGTGTATATGTTGAAATACAAAAGTCAGGTACTGCAGTATTTTTCAAAAATTTCATACCATGGTGAAAGGATGACAGGGTTACCCTTGAAGTGTATTCGAACTGATAATGGTGGAGAATACACATCTGAAGGCTTTGAAGAGTATTGCTCAAAGCATGGGATCAGGCATGAGAGGACAGAACCTGAAATACCGCAGCATAATGGTATAGCTGAAAGAATGAATCGCACCATTGTGAAAAAAATCAGATGTATGTTGAAGATGGAAAAATTACCAAAGCCATTCTGGGGTGAAGCAGTCAACATAGCTTGTTATTTACTTAACAGGTCACCATCAATTCTTTTGGGCTTTGACATTCCAGAAAGAGTGTGGACAGAAAAAGATACTTCATACTCTCATTTGAAAATTTTTTGGTGTAAAGCATTCATGCATGTGTCGAAAGAGCAGAGATCAAAGCTTGACAGTAAAACCACACAATGTGTGTTTGTAAGATATGGTGATGAAGAATTTGGTTACAGGGTATGGGATCCAGTAAAGAGAAAGATAGTCAAAAGCAGAGATGTGGTCTTTCATGAAAAAAAAATCATAGCAGACCTTGAGAAAAATGAAAAGACTACACGAGTTACTGTTAAATGTGATGTTTCAACACCGACAGGGATTCCACAGAAAAGAGCCACAGATGGTGAAAATGAGTATGAAACAGAACTTGGGGATATGAATGAGCCAGCCACAGTTGGTGATGAGCCAGATGCTATTAGTTTTGAGCAGGGGGAGCAATCCTCTCTACCTGAGAGTGTCGAGCATGAGGAGCTACCTTCGGCATCAAGTGATGTAGAGTCTTAGCCCAGGAGATCTACTAGAGAGCGCAGACCATCTACCAGGTATCCAAGTTCAGATTTTATTTTAGTTACCAGTGAAGGGGAGCCAGAAAGCTTTCAAGATGTGCAGGCTACTCCGGATAGAGAGCACTAGTTAAAAGTAATGAAAGAAGAGATGGAGTCATTGCGAAAGAATGGTACTTATGATCTTGTTAAACTTTTCAGGAAAAAGCTTGAGCTTTGTAGTAACTTGGTCGGAATGAGTTCCCTGGCCAAGGTAAGTTCCAAATGAAACTACTATGGTGATGAATCTCTTCCTAATGGGGCTGAAGGGGAAGATTGTTAGGAAAATAGAGTCCAGTCCCATGTAAGTGGTTTTGGACCAAGTAAAGGCCATAGGCCTTGATCTTTTATTTTACACAGAGCCCTAGCTACTTAATAAAAAAGAGGTGGGGTTATTTTAAGTGTGTGTCAAAAATCAAGCAGAAAAAGAAGAAAAGCCAGGAAAAGTAGAAAGAGAAAAAGAAAAAGGGAGAGTTGGTAGAACGAAAGTTGATCCGTGGTCCGATTGAGTTGAAACCTTGTTAAGAGGTTTATGATTCAGAGTTCTACATTCTGAACGGTAAAGATCGGGTTTGAAGCTCTTTAGGAACAAATTCAGGGTATATTTGTTGAGTCACTTATTTGGTGCGATTTATCCAATTGTTTCTCTAGTTGTTGATTAGCTCTAGTTTTAGCTAGAGAAGAACTTTGTATAACTATTATTTGATAGTGAAGATTTTTCTGGTGGCCTGTGGTTTTTTTCCTCTACACTGGAGGGTTTTTCACGTAAATCTTGATGTGCTTTATTTTTCCTGCGTATTTGATTATTGATTGTTGTCTATTGCTTCTGTATTGTTGTGATTATTGCTTCAGGCGCAACAGAAAGTTCTATATAAATCTCCATTTATGCTTTGAGCATCCCTTTTTTTTTTTATCACACATTTAACCTTAAATTAAATTACTTAAATACTCATTACTTTTTTTGTCCTCCCTACATTCTTATTCATCATTTTTTTTCTTATTCTTCTTCCTTGCAACCTTCCATACCAAACCCTAAATCTAATCAAATCTGTAAAAGTCATAGTATTATCTTGTACATTATCAAAATAGAAAGTGAGTTTGGGAAAAACACTTAAAACAATAAAGATTTTTGAACAAACAATCTAATAAATTGATTTTAACCCTAAATTCACATCGTTCCAAAAATATATCTCAAGAACATAAGTATAGTATCTAAAAATTCATTTCCATTAATTTGTTTGTGTAATCAAATATGAATTTAGAAAACTTTTTTATGTTTTCGAAAGTGCATTTTCAGAAAGATCATACTATTATCAAATATATATATCTGATATTGTTAAGTGATTTTCATAAATACATTTTCGAAAATCATAGTAAAGTTTCAAATATGCATATCTAGGAACTTACAAAATTTACTAGAAATTCATTTTCTTCGAAAACAGTGTAAATTTCTTATATTTGTAACAATTTTTTATAGTCGTTATTTATATGATTTTTTTTTTTTTACATTTTATACAATGATCATTTTTGTTGTTGCACATTCTTATCAAATTGGTAACGATAAAAAAAAAATTGTTATGAAAATCTTATTATGTTTGTGACAACTTTTCATTGTTGTTGCCTAATTAGTTTTTAAATATTTTATATAGAAAAAAACAATTACGATATCTCTACCATATTCATAATGACAAAAAAGTTATTATGAAATATTGTTATATTTGTAACGATTTTTATTGTTATTGCCTAATTAACTCTTTAAATAATTTATATAACAACAAAAAAATTATTACAATATATTTACCAAATTCATAACGACAAAAAAAATCATTACAAAATCTTA